CCCCCCCCTTGGCCTCAAGTAGATTTAATAGATAGATAGATAGATAGATATATTCACACCGCGGCGAAGCCGCCCGCACGGATACTTGAGCTCTTTGAGCCGGGAAAGAAAGTTGCAGGGCTCAAAGCGTCAGAAGTACCATGAGGGTCCAAGAGGGTCACGGAAACAACACAAGAGTCTGTTAACACAAGAGTCAGACACACCACAACGATTGGTGCGTCACCCGACGTTGCGTCTTAGATATCGCCTACGCTAGTACCTATCTTAGGCGTGTTGTACTCAATCAGCCTCAATAGGGAAATCCGCAGGGGCAACGAAAGCACACGCTTTCAACGACGCAAATCCACTCGAGCGGCATAATTCACAAAATCAATAGTTTTCTCGCTTCTCTTTCGGGAAGGCTGCAGTGCAAGCACACACGATGTCAAAAAGACAGTCTCACTCGGGCAGCATAGCTGACATCGCCAATGGCTTGCTGATTCCTTGTCGGTTTTTAAAGAGCATCAAGAACACAACATTCTAGAACAAAAATAGGACCCTCGCCCCCTCCAAGCTAAAGCCTAAGCTATGTGCTATCTAGCAATTCTAGGACCTGAGACAACGCCTCAGCACCTTCGGCGCGGGCGGGTTGAGCACCTTACCTCATTTTGTCCGTAGGTCAAGACCACCTAGAAGCTTTGCATCAACGGTTACCGTAGGTTGTTTGTTTTTGAAATTTGAATCAGTCACTTCTGTTGGTTTGGTTTCCAAGAAGATGGGGTCATATGGATATGGGTCAAAACCGGGCAACCGTGGTTTGACCCATCAAACCGAACAGAAATTTACTACCTGGCGAGCTTTCCTCCAGCCATGGTCTGTGCTTGTGCTTGGGGCCGTGGGGCTTTGTGGGACCCCCATGACCCATATGGCTCTGGGTCATGGTGCCAGGATACTGAACGGGCACGACCTACCGACAGTAGGTCTTTCGCTACATGGTGGACTGGTCAGGCGGACATGGTTGAACATGGTTGAACAATCCATCCCCATATTTGCAGGGTTGTTTCCTCAGATATCTCCCATCATGAAACTGCCATCACGTTTGGGACCGTCCAATTTTCCGTCGACGAATGTCGCCCAGTGGCGTCGCAGGCCAAGAAGGACGAAAAGGTGCAGTTTGCGGCTTACAAGTCTCTCAACCCAAATATCTCGCCTCAGCGAAATCACCTTTTCCATCCTTTTCCCACAGCATTTAGTTTGCGCAGCGCATTTTGCTTGGGATGGGCAGTTTTTCGTCTACACGAACTTCGCAAGACTCTTCAGTCGAACTTCAGCAGGGTCCAAAAAAAGGATTTCACCTGACAAAAAGGTCCATAAAAAGCTTCACAACGAGTTTTTGGTGTCAGAAATGGGTGCCCCCGGTCGCCGCGGTCGACTTCAGTTTCGACGTATGTCACACGTTTGGGTCGAATCCGATCAAACCAACCAGCTCGGTCCAGCTCGAACACCCGGGGGCTCCAACTACCTCCTGAGAAGGGACTGGGGTGGGTGGTTTGGGGGGTCTGTGCCCACCTTCTAAGGATATCGTTGGAGCCCTAGGGTAAGGCAGTGTTTGGGACGCCGGTGTTCACGGGCGTCCTTCGAATGGTCCGGTTTGGTGGTTTTCTGAAGTGGTGTTCATCGGAGTTCTGAGATCGGAGTGGTGGATCCTCATTATTTAGGATATTATTTTGGCCAGGATCAGAAAAAGCAAGAATCGAGGAGTGGAAGAGAATGGAACGTCGCGCAGTTATTGGCTTAATTCGTGTGGCAATTGACTACTTACAAGCATTCAGAAAGACAAAGATACTAAGAGAGGCAGGCCCTTTCCCATAAGAATCTGCAAGACAGGTCTCATAGTGACAGTGAGTAAATCTTGCAATTCAGTGGGATTTTGTGGGGAGGATCCCTATTTGGAGAGAGGTCCGTTGTATGTGTGCAAGCCAAGGTGTAATGCCATCCAATCGGGTTCTTGCACTTCTACAGAGCAGTTGGCTGTAATTGGATTGATCCCATGCCTTCTATCTATTCGAACCACTGAGAGAGAATGGTGCGAGGTGTTGCTGATATTTTAAGAAAAGAAGCCAGTGGCTCCGAGCACAAGCTCACCAAGACTTGTCATCCAGGCATCCAAATTCACATTTGCAGATCAACATCTCGTGTTTTTTTCTCAAGAAACCAATGCGATTTTTGGCGAGACCGCCGAGGCAATTCTGCGAGACCACGGAGGCACAAAAGGTGCGAGTGATTCAGGATGCCAAGGACAAGGTGGAGGCCCGTCAAGCAAAGGACTGGAAGAGCTACATAGATTGACCCGAGGAAAATGCATCTAATGTAAGCAACTATTCCATAGATGGATGGTTTGGGAAAGGTTGAATGCTTTGCGACATGCAGAAAGCACACCGAAAGCACGGGGGGAAGAAGATGAGAGAAGGACACAGACTTTTCGTCGAAGATGATACCTCAGAGACGACACCCTTGGAGCATTCAGATTCACCATCCACTTTTCAAATAAATAAGTGGTGGAAGTGGTGGTGGTGGTGGTGGTGGAAGTGGAGTGTTTTGATGGAGTTTCTAAGCACTTCAAAAAATCACTGCCACCCTCTATAATTGTCGTGGCGGATTTGGGGCAATGACCATTATGAACAGCAACAATCCATAGCATTGGGGCAATGACGATGCTCCCCCTTTAAGTCGTCTCCCGAGGTCTCCAGTAGAACTCCCCCGCGTCTCTCCGCCTCTCACAAGCTTCGATCTGCCTCACCTTTTCCTTCGGGAAAGGCATCCGAAGCGTTTGGATCCCCAAATGGTTTGGACATCGACCCAATTTCTGGGTCGGATTCACTGAAATGTATGGATATATATCAAGGACTTGAACAAACGGTTTGACGTCTCACTGAACCATAAATGATCGACATATAGGATTGACATATGAAAAAACATGAAAAAACAACCATCAACAAAAACAACATTTCTCACAAAAAGGATTGACTGAGATGTATTAAAGTATACTAAAACCTCTGTCTCACCAGTCCGTCTCACCAGTCGAATGTCGACACCGACGACCAACGGGCACCAGGTCCTCACCGCCCAAGTGGAGAAGGGAGAGTCTGATGCCTCCAAGTGCGGTACCCAACACTCCACGGGGTACCGAAAAAAGGGCCGAAATCTTTCATGGGACTGGAATTCCAGTGCTGTGGAGTGTGTTTTCGCATGTGTTTTTCGCTTGGATATCACATGATATCACTGTCCTTCTTGAAAAACAAAACGCACTGCATGGGACTGGAATAGTTACCCCTTACCCGTGGATGGGAGAGACTGTCAAGGGGTGAATGTATGTTACTCATCCGACATGGAGCGTTTGGGATATGTGTCCTTCCAGCCTCTTCGCCGTAGCGACTGACACCAGGTAGGTCTTCCTGCATGTGGGTCTGGCATCATGTTGCGGCATCAGAATGAGTTCAATGGAAAACACATCCAGCTGCGCATGTTTGTTCCAGTGTATCACAAGCAAATGATCCGTTGTTTCTGGCTCATCCGTGGAGAAAAAACAACAGCACCGCTTCCGGTTTTCCACCGCGGTGTGAAAAACACCACCTGTTTGGACATTCCAACGACCTTCCAACGACCACACCCCAAGGACTGAGCAGGGGTTGGGGGTGGAATCCATGGACTCCTCAGTGAATCTGGGGGGGCCAATGAAGAGACTAGCTAGGAAATATGGGGGCCTTGGTATATGGTGACCGGTGGTTTCAGAGCTTTGATGGCACTGGCACCCGGTTAGATGTCTTGGACAGACTTGGGGTCCTTACAAACCACGCGACATTGGGGATTCTGCCATCGAACCTCTGAAACATTCTGAAAGGTGAATCACAGTAACGGTGTCTCCATTGGAGCATCGCCGATCTGGAACACACGGGCGTTTTCGTGGCATGGTACTTCTACACGGTGTCTCCAGATGTTGAGGGGAGTGGGGCCCCAGGTTTTCCAAGCCAAGCGCACTCCAGGCAGACTTGAGGTGGACTGCTCAACCTACAACCTACAACCTACATTGACTCTCAAAACATCTTTGAAACCATCCATGTACATCATGTACTCTTGGAGCCTCCCCCAAAAAGGCCCTTCTCAGAAGTTGGGGTGGGTGGGTTTGTGGGTCGAGCAAACAGTCTATATATCACAGTAAGTACATACACTGTGACTCACTAACATGGCCAAGAGTCAAAACGTTTTGGTATGGAACATGTACTCTTGAACATCTCGTTCCATACCCCGTTCCATACCTGTGGAAAAACATGTTTGTTTGCCGTTCCATACCCATCGTTCCATACCTATGGATTCCTAGTTTACAATTGTTCGAGGTTCAATCAAAACGTGCGCTTTGCTTGCTGAAATACATTTACCGTGAGAAACGGGACTGAGATGATACGTCAGGTTTTTTGGTACAATTTGTTCCATACCCCGTTCCATACCTGTTCCATACCTTATGGAACAAGGGATCCGTTCCATACCCTATGGAACAGGAAGGTGCGCGATGTTCACCTGAGACCCGGGGTTTGACGCACACCCACATGGAAAAAGACACGTCCTCCTGCTACGATCCGGCAGCTTTCCACTTCCATGTTAGGACCTTTCGGGAGAGAGTACCTCCTCAAGATGTGAGGGGCTTTGGAGCCCGAACGGGTCCAAGGCCGAGTCCCATTGGAGACACAATGTGTGGATCATCATTTGCAGAACCTGTTCCAAAGAATTCGTCAACAGCTGGCATCATGATCCCATCATATTATCCCATATTCATACAGCCTATAATTAGATTGGGGTGCGTTGAAAAAGGGATGTTTCAATGTAGGAGTTGGTGTATGTATAAGTCTAAGTTCAGATTCCAGCCGCGTTTCTTTGTCCCGTTCAACCACCACCACCACCACCTCCTGCCGAACCACAGGACTCGGACGCCGTTTTTCCGAATCGCCAGAAGTCCGGTGCCCGCACTGGAAGACCCTGGTCTGAACGAAGAGTTGGGGACTCCGGTTCAGGGCGATTCGACGAGCTGTTTCTTTTATTTATTTTGGGAAACACATCATTCAAACGTTTATTTTTGGTGGTTTCAGAGGTTCGATTGGCACTGGCCCTCCCCAAGATGTCTTAGACAGGTACGTACCGACAGGTCGCAAGGTCGGTACGTACCCACGTTGATTGTGCGGTCGTTCATCGTCGGGGGGGTCGGTTGACATTGCGTGTTTCTTTGCGGTGTGATGTTCTTCCCATAGGGTGATGCTTTTTCGTCGCCATTTGGATCCAGGCAAAGCACCCTGATTCCTTATATACCTAGACCCTGAGTGATCTCTAGACCACCAAGCAACCCAATTGTGGTCATTTTCCTATCAAAATAGAGGTCATGTTTTGGGTTCCAAAATTTCTGGCCTGGGATCCACCGATTAGTTCACCGTCAGACCCTCACAGGTTGGCAGAGGAAATCGCCGAACATACGAAGGACCTGGAATCCGCCTCGGCGGAGAAGGAGGCGGAACCGCCACTGACCTCGGGAACCGGGCCACCGCTGGTCGTTCGCCTAAGCCGGTTGGGTTTCGACCCGTTTCGCATGAAAAAAGACCAGTTGCAAATAAGGGAACGACCATGGTATTAAAGGTTTAAAACTCTTATGTAAGACAATGGTTGTTTGTTATTAAAGGCTATGACTCTGACTGTAAAGTAATGGTGGTTCGAATCCTCGGGTGAAGCCAAGGCCTGACACTTCACAGCTTGAGAAGATGGACCACAGATGGCCTTTTACTATTGGTTGGTTGATCGATAGAGGGGGTCTACCCCCAGTTGTGGACAACCAAGTCCATGGTACCTGGCACTGATATGCTCTGACCCCTTCCCTTCTGCTTGTTCCCATTGTCGGTCATATTCGGGCATGATTCCCAGACACTCCATGTATGGAATAGTTACCGCTACATTGGGGTGGTTTCAGGGGTTAATGTAAATATGCCAGTCTCATGGAGTGTTTGGGATTGATCTAGACAGCCGAAAAGGCTGCCTTAGAAGCGATGAATCAGGCGATGGCGATCCCCCCAAACCCTTTGGGACGTGGTGTCGGTCACTGACTGTCATGAGGAAACGCCATCCGTAAAGTTGACAGATTGAGGTGACACACAGCAGCGAGGTGACCTGCTGCGGTCTAGAAACAGAGAGCATTCATAGGATGAGCAGGAGACACAGCATGCTAGATATTTGTTTGTCCTCCTGGGTTCAATCTGGGGCGGAAGGAGTCGGGCAAAGGACTTTGCGTGTGGGACTTGGATGAAGAAATCTAATCCCAGCAAGTCCAAGGGACATCCAAAGGACATCAAAGGACAGCTTAAAACCTGATGCGCAAAGATCGGCGCACGGCGCACTTCACTTCCCAACTTCCAAGATCTACTTTTCATCGTTCTTGTTTCCCAGGGCCACACACACACATTCTTTTGTTATGTTACTTCTTTTTTAATTTTTTGAGAGGTTTTGCACGGCCTTTTCAAGCGTTGCCTTTTTACGTGTTGTTTTTGTTTTGCACCGATTAAACTGGTGTGTGGACTTCGTTGGAGGTGCAGATTCCTGTGCAGACCTCCAAGTCATCGGAGAGTCAAGCCTCTTTGGAGGGGGGGTTCTGTTGTGATCACCCAACAGACTTGTTGGTCTTCATGAATCTCCGGGAGTGTGAACTTTGGATGAAAGAGTCCCACCCCACCGGATGATCACCTTCAGAGGACTTTCGGTCCAACATCCTGGATGATCTACTCGCATGGAGAAGTCGTCGGTGAACTGTTGGTCCGCAGGATTTCTCACCCCAAAACACTTGGCACGTGCGCTTGTCCAGCAAGGGAAACGCAGAAACCATATCATATAACCATTTCATATACATGTATATAGCCTATACGGCCTATAGTTTTTCCCGGATAGACTCCCCTAGCACTTTTGGGAGTCATTTTGTTGGGCAGAATTTTCCCATTCCTGTCAGTTGGTCGTCTTTCTCGCAACGCACCACCCCAGTCGCTCCGCTCTTCCCCCCGCGTCCAGGCGCTCGTGGCCGCTCGCTCGAAGGAGCGTGAGGCCTTCGACAGCATGCTGCAGGCGCGGGGTCCACGTGGAGGTGGCGTTGGACGGCGACGGTGGTTGGAGGCTTTCCGCTTTCCGTGGGGTTGGAGGTTGCAGCGCGTGAAAAGGAGGTGGGAATTTGGTGGAGAAGGTCTATGGGGGTTGAAATATTCGATATGTGTCATAGTGACTTCTGGCCGTTTCGACCTTCGCAGGAAATCGGACATAGTTCCTTTTTTTTTCGGAAAGCAGGTCAAGGATACCGGATACCCCAAGGATTTACTCCATAATAATCTGTCATGTTTGAAGCTTGTCTAGACTCAAGCCGCCTGGCCCTCATGATCGTCTCTTGGGCCTTCTGAATCCGTACCAAATTTGGACCATGGCGATTCAACTAGATCGAGTCATGTAGAATCTAACTTTGGTCAAGATACCAAAGCTTAAGGCTTAAGTGGCTTAAGTATTAAAAGACCCCCAGACACCGCCTGAGTTTTGCGCCTTATCCTTGAATCAGTCTTTGGATCCTAAAGCACAATTGTACAATACAATGATATAATAGTACTTGCATTCTGGTTGTTTCAGGATATTTTTGGAGCTCCCTGCTAGAAAATCCACTTGCCCGCCTCCCATCGGTGAAAACACCAACAAAGTCACCGGACACGTTCTATTTGAGCGGCGGCGGCTTCCCCCTGCCGGCCAGGATTACGTGGAATCCATCGAAGCCATCGGACGGGCTTTGAAGGAGTTGAAGGCCAACACAGCCAAGAACGAGGCGAGGCGGGAGGCATTGGAGGCATTGGGTGTCAGTCGTTCCTCTGTGTGATTTGTGTGTGTGCGCCCTAATTAAGAACTCGTGGGTTTCAAACGCGTGTGTCGCAGGTCGTCGCAGGTTGTCAAGGCGGGTCGAGGTCGGCCGGCGTGATGTCTTCCTTCAATAGAAAAGATTATAGTTTCTACACGCCCTTTCTCCAAAAAGGAGTTTTAATTGGATATGCAACAGCCACAGCAACTGTTTGCTTGCTCATCTGGCTGTAGAGAGGCGTTGTCTCCTCGCTTGGGTTCATTTCGGGCGTCGTGTGGCCCTTGCGGATGGGGGAGACGTCCCAGCGAGAACCGTCTACGCTGGCTCCGGACTGGCATGTATATACATTGGGGTGGTTGATTGATTGATTCATATATACATATTCACATATCGCCGGTTGATTGAAAAGGGATCCACGGTTTGGGTGCTTGGCATCTCTTCCGGGTCGCGTTTGGGAACGGAGTCTGAAACAGATCGGACCAGTATTGGGCGACCCCCAGAGACCTCCGGATCCAGAAGATCCATACGAGGTACTGAGCTTGGATATGGGTGTAATAGGGAGCCCCCTGGCCCTGGTGGGGTTGACTGGCCTATTTCCCGAACCTTCCGAACGGGGGGCGTTGCCTGAGCCTGGGAGGTCACCCTATTTGAGCTATACACCCGCCGATAGATCGTTTGGAGACTCTGAGCTTGGATCGCTGCGCTTATGCCTGCGCATGCTGCGCACGGTGATGGAGAGACAATTTGGGGTGGCGATTCCAGAAAGCAGGTAAGCTTTGATTTGTCGATGCCTTTTCTTTAACACTCGACAAACCTGCGGCAGAATGCCGTCCACCCACTCCGATGGCCTAGGGCTCCAGTCGTATTTTTTCCAGAAAGGTATTTATCTAATTTTATATATACATATTTTGACCCTCCAAATGCATTCCAAACTCCTTCTCAGAAGGGTAGTTGGAACTCTAGGGATGTGCAACCAATTTTAGCTGCGGCTTTCCAGTCATGCAGGTCTAGTCTGTTTCTAGGCTTCAATGTCCACTGTTGATCAAAAACAAGAGCAACACCTACCAGCAGGGTACATGGAGGGCTCGTTTTCATCAATAGATCTACGGCCTACGGTGGATTGAATCTCCTTTTCGTGCATTCCTTTGCTCCCGGCAAGCTGCGCCTTGGCATAGGAAGGCGCTCTAGTGCAGCTGAGTGCACTGAAGCTGCCGGACAAGGCCAGCAGAGGCGGGGACTTGCACCGGTTTCGCTGGAGTGCTGGGGATGGCGCAGGTCGAGCGGGAGAAGGGCCGGACCATTGGGAGGCTGGCCGGCACACACCTTTCGAGGTCACTTCACGAAATTTCACTAAATTGCACCAGCAGAACTCGCCCTTCGAATGCTGCAATGGAGGGTTTTGTGATGTTTTGTGGACGTCAAAGCTGCCAACGCCGGCTCCACCGGGGTTGGTTGGCTTGCACGGACGCTCGGCCGATGGGGAAGCACACGAGATGGGAAGCACCTGAATGACCCGATCAGGTCTGAGAGATTGAAGAGCCCAACAGTCAGCCCAACATGTTCCATACTAGGCCGCTTGTATGTCACTCCAGAGTTCTAGTTCAGGTCTCTCAACCCCTCTGACATGAAGTCTTTTTTTGCAACTTAGATCTTTGGAACCCGTCTTCGGTCCTTAAGTCTTTCAGAACATCCATGCTGCTTTCAGTGGAGGAGGGCGCAGCGTCTGGGCAATTCCACACCGACTCCCACCAGCACGGAAAACACATTTGGTGAGTCGACCGTCGACACATTTGATGTCGTTGTGTGATATCTTCTGGTTGAGAGGCTCTCTTGTCAGTGTGTTTTTCATACATCATACATCATCATACATCATCATACATCATACCTATTATCCCTTAAGAATCCGTATACGTTCCCTTTCGCCGTTGGGCCCGACCTCCCAAACGGCGCTCGGTCGCCAACCTCGTCCGAACCCGTCCCCCGTCCCGGTCGAAGCGGGGGCGACCGAGGGGGTGGTGAACGGGGTCTGACGATTTGGTCAGACCCAACTGGGGGTGGTGAACTCAGGTTCCATGTAGGTCTCTTCCAGGTGTGGAGGGATCACACAGATTTCAGCTCCCCAGGCTTGCAGGTTCTGATGGCGGACAACTTTGAGGAGATCGAAGCGTAGAAAAAGCGCTGGGGACTGGGACTGGCATATGGACACCATCATTGACCCCTGAAAGCAAATCCACCCCAATGGCAAATAAGCAAGTCCCCATGGTTTTAAGATGTTCTAAGACTTCAATGTATCCCTATACAAGTCCAAAGACCCAGCAAAACCTGATTTTTGTTCATTCTTGAGTCTTGAGTCGTGTTTTGGTATGACCAACTCCAGTAACATGAGGTTGTTCACTGCACTGTTGCTACAGCAATACTCAGTATACTCCAGAACCACTCACCAACCACGAGTTCACTTCGGCGCGTAGATCGATCGATTCGATTCGATTCGATCGACCCCTCCGCTCCGACCCGTCACCGGGTCTCACCCGTCCGCAGCGACCCGCAGGACAAACTCCTGAGCTTCTTGGGCGAGGAGACCGGGTCCGTCGCCACGAGACAGTCCGGCGGCCGCTGGGCCGAGGAACACAGGGGGAACGGCGCTGAAAGACGGCGCTGAACGGCGATGAGAGACGGGTGAAGGTCCTTTCATGTTTCATGGAGATCAAAGGAGTGAAGTATAGTCGAAGTCTATACAAAGTGTGAAAGCGTCCTGGTAAACGAGTCTTTTCCCCTCGTTCAAACATACTTTCCGGTGAAGGTCCTTTTCTGTCTCTCATGCATTGGAACGCGCAGGCACCTTGGTACCGTGGGTGGCGTGAAGTGTGTGAAGCCGGACTACTCTGCACCGACATGTTGGATCTCTGTGTTGGACATTCCACCATCGAAATCGAAGTTCGAGCCATGGGTTCGCTTCTGGTTCATAACTCTAGCGAAACCGAACCCCCCCATACAAAGCTGCCGAGCTCGAGCGTGAGCGTGACTCGCTCGTCTTAGGCATTGTGGATATGCTTGAGAAATTGGAGGAGAAGTTCATGGATGAACGCCTGGAGATCGAGAAGGACGCCTGTTTAGATGGTGTATGCGAACAGCAGTTAGCAGTTGTTGGTCACGGTATAATAGCCAGCATCGCGGTATGATATCATATTTTCTGGTTATCACGTGATCCAATCCTCATGCTCTGGTATAGCCACATGCGCTACGTGGCTCCTACGAGCGTAGCTCGTTCAGTTCTGAAGCCTCGCTCAACAGGAGAACCATGTTAAAACGGACATGCAAAACATTGGTAACAAAGGTTGAAACGTCGACATGAACGGCGAATTCAGACGGATGTTCGGTGGATGTTCGGGGGTTCAGGCGCTCGCTTGGGCACGCTCATTTGCGGATGGTAATGAGGATCGCGTGCAGGTCTGCAAGAGATTTTGAACGTTAGCGTACCCCAACCCACCCCCCCAGTGGTTTTAACATGTTTTAAACGTTAGCATACCCCACCCCACCCCACCCCACCATGCTGATGGTTACGAGGATCGCGTGCAGGTCTGCACGTAGTTGTTGAACGTTCGTGGGCAATCACTCCGATGACCATCATGGCGCCGTGGATGGCATGGGACCGAGGACTTGGATGACCATGGGGTACATCCGAACACCAGAAAGAGGTGGTCAACCACTCACTCACTCCACTTTCCACCATGGCTCTTCCTTACTAAACAGAGCTCCAACTGGCCTGGCCTAGTCTCCCGGCCTTGACCTCAGGAGGAAACGGCGAAACGCCATGCGCACGAGCTCTTAGCACAGAGCCTCACCCGCAAAGCCGAGGAGGTGCCGACCGGTTCCGCGAAGGTGGTTGCCAGGTTGTGAGCTTTCTCATGTCGTTCATGCGCTGAATATTTAAATTAGCAACTGTCATTCAAAAAGAAACCACGCTGGTGAAAACGAGCCTCATTATCTCATTCTGCTTTCCACGAGTGGAGCCTCATCAGAAGCATGCAAGGTGCTTCAATACCTGTCTGCACATCAAGCATCATGAACTATAAAACCATCAATTCCATCGGTTCGGCAGAGAATGGATTCGAACATCCGTGAGAGGTTTTGGAGATCTCATGTTTAGGCATGCTTGGGTTCTGCCCGGAGTGGGGTGCTTAATATATGAATTGTGGCCCCATTTGCCATTCGTATCTGGATTGGGGTTTGAGACTGGGCGCCTAAGGGACTTAAAAAGCGGGGTCTGAAAGGATTGTGTGGATTCAATACCCCATCAAAAGTAGTCAGGTCACTAGTCCGGTGATGAACTCATTCAGGCCAGACTCCAAACAACCATCATGACTGGCGTTTTTTTCAAGAAAATGGAGGTCACAAAGAACTCCAACCCGAGGAATACATTTCTCTTCTGTTTGGATACTGCGGTTCTGTTTATTATATGCCGGGCTATGCTGACTCCATGCCCAATATGTTCCATGGATTTCCTCTGAGATGCTAAGATCGATACTGTTTCATGGATTTTTCTTTCGCCACATCATGGTTGTCTACTTCGTTTCTTCAGGCCGGCAAGGAGAAGCAGCAGAAGGAGACGCTGAAGGCACACATGCCCCAGTTTTTGGGTTCGCACTTCTTGGGGTCGGCCCAAATTCACCCAAAACATCCCAAAACGAAAACCAGTTTACCACCAACAAGACCAGCTATCCATTCTTTTTTGTCCGCTCGAAACCACTGGTTTTACCCGACCAGGACTCCAAGACTGCCAAAAGAGGTCACTGGAGTGACCTGTCACCCGGGTCGTCGGGTCGGGTCCTTCACCCGGTGCTCGGTTTGGTGGCTCGGCCCTCGGGTGGACCAGTCTTGACTTGGGTGAAAGCTGGGTGAAGCTATGCGTTTTTGGGTTGGGGTTTAAACCAGAGGAAAAGAACAGAAGGAAACAACATGGTGTTCTTTTCTCTGTAATTATACAGATGTGTTTTGGAAGAGACTGGAAGAGGGAGAACCACAGACAGTGGGTTGTTGGAGCTTCTGAGGGGAGGATGTTGTTGCATTGTTTAAAAACTAGCCTTAGCAGTAGCACCAGAATCCATGTGTGAGCTCCCGAATCAGATTGTTCTTGGTTTTTGTATGTTTTTGTTGAGGTCCCAGGGAATGTGGACCGGTTTTGGGAGGAATGCTCAGAACACCTTTGGTGATACCACCCACCTGTTGAGCACCATCTTTGTTGTTTTGTCCAAGGGTGAGCATGGTCGGGATTGATCGGGTCTTGGTACGTGGAAATTATTCAATGTCCAACTGTATGTGGCCCATGCATAACAAACTGCTCATTCAGGAATCATCATTTAAGACGATATGAGAAGATGCTTGTGTAGGTAGAAGAAGACTGCAAAAAAAAGACATAGAGCACATCGACATCTGGGGTGAAAGACGATTGTTCATTGCCCAGACACTCCATCTTTGGCTGATTGACCCATCAGTCTGGGGCTTTCTCCGTCCACCTCAACTGCACCGGTCGTCGTCCGGACTCGTCCGGTCACCCGCGACCCGCTCGCCTTCTCGCCGCTCGCCGTCCGGTCCACCAGGCCAAGAAGCTGCAAGAGAAGGCGCGTCTTCACCCAGCGAGATGGTTTCGATTTCGGGGCCGGTTCTCAGAGACGATTTCCATCCATCGAACGAACGAACCTCCAGGGCTCCGCTCGGTCATCCGCGCGCGGTCATCTGCGGTCATCTCCCGGGATGACCGCATGGCGATTTTTTGGCCGGAGGGTGCATTCTTTTTGGGCGATCATTGGTGTCTCTCATCTCTCGTCCGTGAGAAGAACAACTGTGTGAAACTGACTGTTGCAGGTGTTCAATGGGAGAGTCGACCACTGACCGTGCGTTCTGGCACTCTACAGCACCTGTCTGAAAGTGTGTCCCCCTAACAGCCTCCACGGGTCTTGTTTCGGTCGCAGGGGGTGCGCGAAATGTCGCCCCTGCCACGAAAGACATTCCAAACAGGTGGCTCGGCATGGCTCATCAAGAACTGCAAGGTTGGGGTCAGCACACCTAGAGGGTCTCTTGGACATTACATTTTAGCTGACCAGCTGACCAGTTGGGGTGCTTGAAACATAGCTGCTGCAAGCTCGCAGCAGCTCCATGCATCCACAGGCATCCTCTAACTCAGCCACCCAACTCCTTGCAGAGTAAATCCAGGAGCGTTTGAAAAGCATGACCAAGTACACGAGCCTGCCAATAGCTTGCAGCTTGGTCTCATTTATGAGGTTCTACTGAAACTTCAGCAACTTCCACCGAGACAAGATTTCTTGGGAGAATAAATGGGGAGCTTCCCAAAGTATTTCTTGTAAACATGTATATGTGTGTATTCATGAATAATAAATATATATATATATATACACACCAACCGTAAGGACGCCGATTTCCAGAACATTTGTGACTCCATTGGCTTTCTCCCCGCTTCAACATCGAACTTCTGCAGAGCCATGCTCCAAGTTTGAGTGATACCATAGGCATGTTCCATCAATTTCCCAGTGGATCAAAATAGGCCACTGGGTGATACCAAATCCATGTTCTATCCCATTTTAGGCATTGTGATTTATTGTTCCCTCCAAAAGGCCCCACCAAAACTTTCTCTCCAAGCTCATCGGTTACTCACAGACCACGCAACCCGCCACGCAATGCTGATCTTCCCAGAACCATCGTCTGGACGCCAGGCCTCCGCCGCTGGGGACTTGTCTGAAACCGAGGCGCCGTTTCCGACCGGGCCGGGCGGGCGGTGGGGTGGACGAGGAAGCGGAGCGAGGAAGCGGAGGGAAGCGGAGGGAAGGCACAGCTGGATGAAGCGAAGCGAGCAAGTGATGTATACCAAATAATGATACATAATGTATATATAATAAATGATTGTACATGGATAAAAGAACCACAGTACCTTTGTGTGGATGTTCCTTGCAGCCATTTTTAGCTGTCAAAGTCTATGCAACCCTGGAACCACAAATAGAAGTTCCTTCAAGCATTTGCAATCACACATATTAAGTGCTTTCCAATGTTACATTCATATGCTCCAAACCCGGCAAACTGATACGGAACTCATCCAAAGAAGATACAAACGACATCAAAAGACTATATATATATAGATCTATTAGAAAAGTTCTTAAACAGAAAGGAACCGATAGGAGAATCACCAACTTGTTAATCGGAACAGCCACACGTCACGATCTTTCGACCTCATCTCCTCCAACCCCCTACTACCTACATCTCGTTGGGGCCCTTCCTCGAGCTGCAGGCACGAAAAAATCGTGCGCCGCGACCAATGCGCCGCGTTGCATCGCGCGATACACGCGGCGACGGCAGTTTTGCGATGTTTGCGACAGCGGTTTGGACCTCAGCCGTGGGTGTTGCCCTTGAGCCAAGGTTAGACTATGTCCTACTAACATCTAACAGTTTATTTTCTAATTGACATATCCTGTAGAATATACATTTTCAGCAATATCTATAAAATCGACCTTCCTTGCAAATAGTCTGTTGATGTAAACAGCCTATTTTCATTCATGCTCATTGATTTTTGGATGCAACCTTTTCATGTTCGCATGACAACTTGTAAAGTGTTTGGTGACAAGGTTTGGGGACATGTCGGCACTTTGTGGTGTGTTTGTGTAGGAACTCTGTAGGGTTAGGATTTTTTTGCAGTCCTAAAATGCACCAGAAAGTTGGCTTGGCTTCGATCAATCTTAGACAGTTTGAAACACGACAACTCAGATATGCTTAAACTCTTGATGCACAGTTCTGTGCTATTTCTTGTGCCCACCACTGTTGTAAGCATCATCTTCCCCTTTGTGACACATTGCCTTGAGCAGTGGCCAGCTCAATTAACACAGATGACTTCCTGCTGGAAAGGGGGGGAGCTTGATCGGGCTCCATGGTGCCCTTGCAAGATCTTCAGCTCCAAGCAAGGCAAAGTCCCACCAAAAGCACAGAAAGGTGTGGAGAAACTGAAGCTTGCAATGTCAATGCATCTGGAGAAACTGAGCGAGGATTGAAAAAGGCTGGCTGCTTCTTTGTCTTGTGTATTCAAAAATAGTGTTGACAACATGTTGTGCTTCTTGTGCTTCTTGTGGGCTTGAAATTTGGAAAGAGCTTTCCTACAGGCTCATTCTAGACACTTACTTGGTCTTAGGCTCTTAGGCACTCTCTTTCTCTTTGCACACCTGGGCATTGAGTTTTCCGCAAGCCAAGCAAATGATAAAGCTGGAATGTATTAATCTGGAATACATGTAAAGACAACCTCTGAAAATAGACTCTTTTGACATGGACAACTATATGTGACCCTGCTTTAGACACAAAATAGGTTGATATAAGCTTGAAAATGGTTAGTATTCAAGACATCAAGTACGATACAGCTACTAGTTTGGACATAGTCTAACCTTGGCTTCAGGGGGGAGGTTCTGCATAAGGTGACGGTAGTTGTGCTGAGGTTCTGGATGGAGCCGAAGTGCCACTACCGAGTGCTGGGCATTCAGGCTCGGAGCTTCCGGGAGAGGCGAGATATGCATATGCTTCTATACACTCAGAACCTAAGCAGAAAATGTGTGGCTAAACCGTTCAAAGAGCTCGATCACCAAGAACAAGGGTGTGATGGATCCGACATGGAGAGCCATACTCTACACTTGAGTGTAGGCACAGCACGTCCGGATGACCTTGCGGCAAACGAAAAACAGGGTTGACCACTGCTATATGTAGATGGTTTGGGAACTTGGAGTTCACCTTCTTGGAATTTTGACAAATCGATCTACACACTTCGACCCCGCATCCCCCTCGCCTCTCGGCCACACACCGTATTCGGTGTGGCCGCCAGGAGCAGGCAACTTTGCCCGAGATCAAGAAGGCGCTATGCTCACTCCATCTCATCTCAGTCCCCCGAACGGTGCTGGCAACATGGACTCGTTCGATCGCTATTGAACTTCATCTAGAACAACGAGGTTCCCTCTTCAGCCCAGACAAATAACACTTTCAAAGCCATCTTCCGCAAGCTGCGGGCCACGGCGAAATCTTTTGGCGATCTCTTGAACAGCTTTCCCCTGCAGCAAACGCAGGCCAATCGGGTCCACCTTCTCAAACCGCAACCGTTTTGAGGGACCAAGGGCTGTTTACAAGAGAGTCTGGGATGAACATCTTTGGGGGGGCTCATGTAGGGCTGCGGCCGCGGACTGCGTGGACAGGCCTACAAGGACTTGAGCAGAAGACATCATCCTGACAAAAGCCAAGATCCGCCACTTGCAGTGCATCCAGGTTTGAACATCTAGTTTGCATGAGCCTGCGCAGCCATGAAAATCATGTTATTCTACGACGCGCTTTTTGCGGTTGACCATGACCGCCTTGGTTCCCAACACCCAATTCACACCTACCCGCGCAGAAGACATGAAACCACTGTTTGATTTGCGTATGTGTGGCTTCAAACAAACCATAGGAAATAAATGCAAGATAACTCCACTTCGAGTGATCCCCACCCTGAGAGGCAATTGTGAAGAAGGCAGGGCACATGTATTGGCATATTGACAGACTAGCCTGACAAAGGCGCACATACGAACTGACGCACTGTTCTGACGCTGGTTCCAGCATCAAGTTTGGTTTTGTGCTCTGGCACATCATCTGTCATAAAGGCTGGGAAGTGTCTGGACTGTGTTCTGCCGTCCGTGTTGGCGTGTTCTATTCTTCCAGCCGTGAGGCCTGACATGTGTACTGTGACGTATGGTCGACTTTGGTCCTGGTATGTGCAACGACGTGTATTCCGACATTCCATCCTGCCATCAAAGAACGTGCATATCTTGCATGATACATCCTGAGGTTCAGTCTGTAGCCTGGCGTCACATTCTGGCATACATTTTGGCATTCTACCTGGCATATTTTCTGCGCTCTATGTATAGCATTTTTCTGGCATTCTATCTGGCACATATTCTGGCATTCTATCTGACATGTGAGTATGACATCCTATCTGGCATATACATTGACATTCTATCTGGCATATATTCTGGCATCCTATCTTGCATGTGTTCTGGCATTCCATGTGGCATATACTCTGACATTCTATCCGGCATGCGTTCTATCTTACATGTATTCCATTTGAATATTTTCTGGCGTTCCATCTGGAGTATATTCTGGCATTCTATCTGGCATATATTCTGGCATTCTATCTTTCATAAACTCTTGCATTTTATCTGGCATATCTTCTGGCTTGTTATCGAGCAGTTTCTGGCGTTCTATTTGGCATATTCTGGCGTTCTGTCTTGCACTCTATCGGTCGAGGTCCCATGGTGCCCACTGCGATCCAGCACTTGTGGTTGAGGTCCGGTGGCGCCCACTGCGATCTAGCACTTGCGGTTGAGGACCGGCGGTGCCCACTGCGATCAAGCACTGACGGTTGAGGTCCGGTGGTGCCCACTGCGATCTAGCGCCCACAGTTAGGGCCGGTGGTGCCCACTGCGATCTATAGCACTTGCGGTTGAGGTCCGGGACTGCCCACTGCGATCCAGCGCTTGCGGTTGAGGTCCGGTGGCGCGTGCTGAAATCGAGCGTCCGCAGTTGAAGGCCGGTGCCCACTGCGATCTAGCGCTTGCGGTTGGGGTCCGGGAGTGCCCACTGCGATCTGGTGTGCTGTTGAGGTCCGGGAGTACCCCCTGCAGGCATATCTTCTTCTGACATTCTCTCTGGCATATCTTCTGACATTCTTTCGGGCATATCTTCTGACATTTCTTCTGGCATCTCTTCTGACAGTCATTCTGGCATTCTATCTGGCATATCTTCTGACATTCTTTCTGGCGTATCTTTTGACATTGTTTCTGAGTATCTTCTGACATTCTTTCTGGCGTTCTATCTGGCATATCTTCTGACTTGCGGTTGAGGTCCGGCGGGGAACGCTGCCCGCCGAAGCTCGCGGTTGAGGTCCGGCGGGGAACACTGCCATGCGACCCTCGCGGTTGAGGTCCGGCGGGGAACACTGCCACGAGACCCTCGCAGTTGAGGTCCGCCGGGGAACATTGCCATCGAACCTCTCAGTTGAGGTCTGGCGGAACACTGCCGCACGACCCTCGCAGTTGAGGTCCGGCGGGGAACACTGCCACACGACCCTCGCAGTTGAGGTCCAGTGGGGGAACCAGCCGACGCTCGCGGTTGAGGACAAAGCGGAGGATGAGCTGACATAAAGTCTAAAAACCCTCACCTGACAGGTGGGGAGAAAACATGACAGCGCCCCAGTATTGCAAACAGTGCCAACCTGTGGTCATTGGCAGGCGATCGTTATGCCCAGAAATCCGGACGTGTTCTTGACAAAGTACAGTCCTGACAGGCAGGTCAATATACTGGAGTTGATCATACAAAACTACGGTACTCAAGGTCAAGGACACCACGTGTCTTGGTCTTTGGACCTTTAGGGAGTCAGTCCTTGGTGTTGCGGCTCCAGTTGCTCTGGTTCGTCGCTTGGCTGGGTGAACGACACGCGCTCAAGCGCATCGCTGCTGCGAATCATTTTTGCGTTCAGCAGCGCAAGATCTTCAAGTCTCAAAACCCTGGTACTTCTTTTTCTCTCCTGAAACACTCCCCTCAACAAGGGTTGTCCTGCATTTTTCCTGCTTTGAACACTAGAAAACTATTGTTTTGCACTAGGGGTGGTGCCCATAGGAAACCTGCTTGATGCAAGGAATGCGACAGCTCGATTCCAAAGGATCGCGGAAGCGTATCAGGAACTCAAAGACCAAGAGAGACGTGCCATTGGCTTTGTTTTAGTGCAAACCTCGTGGCAGATGATGGCGGCCGGGATGGTTCCCAGGTTTGGAATGAAAACTGCGCTGATTTCTACTCTGCTTTGGTTCCACGTTATCTCGTGTTAGTTTGGTTGGATGGCATGTGGATCGATGCCAACTTGTTGTTCAGTTATTCACGAAGGGTTGGAGGGTTTCGCACCGGACTGGGAAGTGTGTCGAGACAGTGTTGGGAGGGTCGTTGGGGTGCACTAATTATAAGATATATCCATTATCCATCACTCCCAGACACTCAATGTATGGAATAGGTACACACACCGACATTGACCCCATTTGTTTGGGCCCTAATGCAGGAAACTATTCCATACATGGTTGGTCTGGGGTTGCATGTGGTTGTGTTTTGGACTTTTCCTGTCGGAATCAATGCTGGAGGTCCAAAGACGGCATCAGTACAGCCGGTAGACTCTGTAGACGAGTTGGGGGTATCAGAGAAGGTTTCCACCATCAATTGCACACTGCTTCGCCGCAGCAAGCAGGTCCCACAAGGGTCAGACAATCCTTTGGACAACGTGGCAGTGGGCCCTAGTTAGTGGGTTGGTCAAGGGTGTGTCTTCCACAGACATCCAAAAAATATTTCCAAACTCACAGATGCCCACACAGCGCACAGAACTGGAATGTAGACAATGCTACCCCAATACCACCAGCCCCATGGCTGGTGCGTCCCAGGTGCGAGGTATGACGCAAAGAGATTCTTGGAACCTATCTTCGAAAAACTAGGCTGGCAGTCTTCGCTCTGAAGTCGGGGAGATCCAGACAACTGCATCCCAATTATTGAACATGGAGTGTCCAGATCAATGGTTTTTTGTTCAGATCATACCCCAGACACACTTTGCAATTATGGCATTTGAGTCGAAAAAAGCCCGGTAATAGTAAGGAAGGTTCCCAGAGGTTCAGAAATCGCTTGGCCACCGCTTGGTATTCTGGTGTTTAAAGTGGTTCTGTTACCTCGTCGCGCTGGCAAAACGCAGGGTTGCGCTAGGTTCCCGCTAGGTTTGGCGCTCGGATAAAGTACTTAGGTAATTTAGATAAGATTAACAAACAACACATACATGTATTGGTCACTAAACTTGTTGATTGGTCATACAACACACACACACCCGCACAGACCCAAGAGCAGCAACTGTCTGAAAGGCAGCAAAGCGCCGATAAAGGCAGCTACTTTTTGAAAGGCAGCGACTGATTGAGATAAGACAAGGCGAGTTCTTGATCACAGACGTTTGGTGGCGTCATGCACTGGCAGGAAAGCGCGCTAGGTCCGCGCTAGACCCGCGCTAGATCCGCGCTAGACCCCTTTGCAACTTTGATCCCTTGTCCAAGTGCTGAGCAGGGCCTACTACTCCCACTATTGCAAACATACGCACAGACGTGCGAGTGAAGAAAGTTGAAAAACAAGAAGGGCAGCTGCTGGGGTGGGGGCGGGGTATACACAAAAAGAGGCTAAGATAGGAAAGCCATCAACCATATCTTGACAACTTGTTTCGGGGTGCTACTTTCAGCTTCACATTTGAAACAGTTGGACTCTGTAAGTAAGAATGCAGCAGGTAAAAGGGTATGCGCAACATACAACCATATACATGAGCGCATGTTGTGTACATGATAGCCACCGCTTGGAATTGCTGTGCTTTCAACCTAGGATAATGATTTTAGAACGGTTTTTTCAACTCATTTGAGGATTTGACCAAATCAGTGATTTGGGGAATGGAAAGAAGGGCCTGACCGTCCCAAGAGGTCCATTGGCGCACCATCCACGTTGACACTTAAAACATCTTGAGGCCGCCCCAATGGGTGTGCGAATCTTCCAGTCCCATGCATTGATCCCAATCCCACTGGCTTATTTTTTTGTGCGCTAGTTGAAACCATCCATCAGTCAGGTTTTGTTGCTCTTTGAATCCTTTTGGATCTCTTGGAGCTCCAATCGCTCGCCAGGTCTCTCTGTGGACGATTGGATGGCCAGACACGTCGCATCGAGCTCGAGCCTCGAGCTCGTTCGCATCGAGCTCAACGTTGTTGGGCGTTTGGAGCCCCTGATGTGCCTGGCCTCAAGGGTTTCGTGTAGAGGCAGACAAGCATGGAAAAACATGCGCCAAAAAACCTTTGTTTGCTTAAGGTGGTGTTTCATTTTCCCTATGGATCCCCTTCTGGTGATTGTTTTTAGTTCTTCCAGGTTCCTTAAGCATACCCAAGAAATAAACATTTCAGTTTTTGGATTTCCGCTTCCGCTCAGAGGGAAAACGTGCGGATGTAGCGCTTGATGGGTTCCTTAGTTTCTGATGGCCGTTAGATGGGAGGTGGCTGAGCCAAGTCGAGAGGTTTCACAGACACATTCATGCTTTTGTGTCAGAGTCAGTGTATTATACACGAAACTATAAAATGTTTTTGTTCCTAGAGAGGCCTTCCTTGAGCCAGCCAGACTGGGACGGACAGCCGCCTTGAGTAATAACCATCCTGAACGGCCGGGCCGTCACGTCGATTTCGAGTAAACGTCTTGCGGTACTGTGACCTTCACAAGCAAAAACAAGGGCTTTTCATGAAGGCTGAACCAAGGTGAGAGGTGAGGTGTCACACGCCTGAACTGTATGTGTAATCCTTTCAGACACTTTTGAGTTGGGAAGGACGCACATGGAACGATCCAGGGAATCAGAGAGGTTTGCCATGGTTTCGTTGTTCGACTCGTGTGCAAGATCCGCGCGAATGGGGCGCACCAGGCCTGCTCTTGGGAGTGGCTATCACCTTTTTCGCAGCCCTACTTGTGGAGTGGCTCTCTTGCACCGGATGACGGTTTTTCGAGACAAAACGTTTTTGGGGCCTCAACTTTGATTTGTCAGATCGCGGCCAAACTCGCAACTCGCAGGTCGTCTTGATCGTGGCGCCAGCGGGGGCTAGTCTGGAAGCAGGAAGACAACGGCTTAGAGAGTGCATCGATGAGCTCACTGGTCTTCGTGCTCCTCCTGGTGGACTGATCTTCATTGTGCCCAGCAACCGCCTCGACGTCGTGCCCAGGATGGTCCTTGCTTTGCCGCAACTCTTGTGGCAGTCAACCGGACAAGAAGTATAGTGAAAGGTTTCGGCAGCCGTTCAGATTTGATTCCCAACCAAAATTCTTATTTTTCCCTTTTGGTACATTGAAGAACCGTTTGTTCCTGAATCCTATTTTGCATTCATTGCATTCAAGAAAAAAGGCTATGTCAGTCTCCCATCTTCGCGCCACTGGTCGAGGGCACCGCCATTGGAAGACCTCAGGTTCGGTGCCTCCATCAGCCAAGTGGCGCATGACCGAATCGTTGCTCGCGGCCCGGCCACGGCGCTGCCCGCAGCGGTGCAACAACTGCAGTGGTGGATGGACTTCTATGGACTTGTCCAGCTACCCGGCAGGGAAGACCAGGAAGGCTTGGGGATGTATTCAGTGGGTGCATCAGGGTCCAACCGCGGCCAACGACCCTTTCCAGAGAGTCTGCGTGTTTTTTTTGCGCGGCCGCTCGAAAGTAAGCGCTTTTCGGTGGTTTGCCTTAAAGTCCGGCCACTTGCCTGTTCCAGTCCAGTCCTGTACTCTTCCTGGTACTAAAACATGGAAGTGCAGAATCAGCTGTTTGGTGTTATGGTCTTCCAAGGAAACATGCTCCACTTCCAATAGTTTGAGGAAGCGTAGATGTTGAATCTTCACGATCAAATGTTTGGGAGAATCAGGTGACCTTTACAATCACAAACCACCATGTCTTGCCTTCCTTTCAATCGTGAAAGTGACGCTTCTGAGTCGAAGACGAGTGTGGGAGTCTCATCACACAGCAGATACTGGAGTCGACCCGTTCGTCGCTGGGAAAATGGGAGCAGTCGTACCTGTTGTCCCATGTTTTAGGGTACTTGAACGGGTCCAGGTCCTTGGTCGATCCGTGCTCCGAATTCGGTACGAAAGTTGGGTCGTGTGTTCCAGGCTCCCAGATGGTCAGCAGCTGGATGCATGGCAATATGCGCATGCATGTGAGTTGCATCACATTCAAGGCAACTTGATTCGACATGCCGCTGGTTGTGTTGATGAGTTGTGGGTTTGAATCTGAAAATTAGAAAGTGGGTTAGGTGATTAGGTGACCAAGTCATGCTGAAGCGAAAGATGTCGAAACTGAACTACTGGTAACTGGTAGCATGTGTTTTGATCAGTTCCATCATGACAGGCTTGGCGCCCATGAATCGCGAGCCTGATGCTGCTGAAAGCCGCAGTATGATGGAGCACGTTTTGCAATTGTCCACTCCGGCCCAGCTGACACTGGTGGAGCTGGCTGTGAGATGTTTGCAATCCAACCTTCAGTTCACCACCGCTTTGGCGCGAAGCGTTTCTTCAGGGGCGGTCTATGCTGAGTACAGTGAAAAGTCAGGGGACGTGCTTGCCAGGGCGCGTTTGGCGTGTGCCTTTGCTTCATTGGCTTCCAGCAGCACATCCATAGCCAGGGCCGTTGTGAATCATCGCATTGCCAACGATGCGCAAGTGCAAACGATGATGCGTTTGGGGCCGTTCTTGGACAGCGCCGATGGTCTTTTTCTCAGATCGAGGGGTTTCATTGCAGCCAAGGATGCTGTGCCATCTGAGCCTGGGCTAGACGAGGTTTATGTGTTTTCGCGGTCGATGCTGAATGCCTTCTTCTTGTATTTTATGCATGGACGCGCAGCCCTTTAAATGCAGACCACATTAGCTATAATATATAAGTTGTTTGACATCCTTTCGACGTGTAACATAGTTACACAGACTCATACATGTTTTCTTTATTTTGGCATTACTAATGATAACTCTTGTTAAAAGTAATTCCCCTCAGAACATTAACCCCTTTGCTAGTTCAGGATGGACAATGGCACCAGTGGGAAGAGCTCTTGCGGCCCAAAGGGAGTTTGGCAATGTTCTGGCAACACTTGTGCAAGGTGGCTTGGGCGCAGAACAGAACCAATAGAAAACTAAATGTAACGTGATGGCATATATATTATATATATATTACAGTAAAATTAAACTAAGAGACCCTCGGGGTTGAGCTCCCCGCCGGAGAGTGTTCTTTGGGGGTGATGTGTCTTTCAAATGTGACTGCCTTTCTCACCTCGCATGCAGGTCCTTCCCTCTTCAGTGATCCTGCCAGTGGAGTGGCATGAAGTGCCAGAGGTGATGACCTTGAGTCTGAAGCCCGACGAGTGTTCTTCAAGATGTTTCAAGTGTTTGTGCTGAAAAGCTTGAGTTTTCTGGGATAGTTGACATGTTTCGAAAGATGGGAAGATGCTGGAGCATGCTGAAACCGTTTCATTCATGAAAATCTGTTTTCATGATTTTCCCTGTATGTTGGTCTTCACGGGCCAATTGTTCTTCAAGCAATTCCCACTTGTCCCGAGGAAGCATTGCCTGGGCTCAACCTTTGAGGTGGACACCCATAAGGGCCTCCGGAAGGTTTCAATGACCACCATGCCCGGCGACCCCGTTGCGGGCGACCCCTCGGTTGGGCCGGTTCGATTGGTGGAGGAAGTGGAGGATCAGATCTTTGAGCTCAAGCTGCCGCAGGGAGATTCAGCCAGTTTCCTGGTTTTGCTTTATTATGATCTTCCTGTTTTGGTATGGGTCAAACCCTGAAACGGAAGACTGGGCCGGCTTCCCCCAATCCAAGGTTTGGACCTTGTGCAGAGAAAACATCGGAGTGGACTTGGTGACCAGCTCGATCGCACCTGGTACGAGCAGCACAGGCACTCCTTTGAGCTGGTCGAGTCCGAGTCAGTGCCACGTGTGAGGCTCACTCCCAGTGCACGTGAGAGAGCTGAATTGAGGAGTCTCGAAAGAGAGCGGGAAAAGCTCCGAATGCAGGAGAGGCGTGTTGCTGAGGCAGTGCTCGCAGAGCTCTCTCCACGCCTCCAGGATCTCCCACGAAGCTGTGAAGGTAAAGAGCTTGCTGCACTACTCATTGCACTTCAACACAGAGCCAGCCGCTGTGACACGCAAAAAACCGCGGCGTCCTCCTCGGAAGCGGAAGCGCTTCAGCTTCCAGGAGCGCTTCCGGTGATCGTGAAGCGCCTCATGGAGCGTGCGCACGAGCGCCGCACGACAGGCGGCGGAAAGCATGTCTTGGCGGCGGAACTTCTTGAAGAGCTGCACCCCTTTAACGCAGCTCAGGTCCGGCCACCGTGGGGTCAACGCGGAAACACAGCGCGCGCCAGGGAAGGCGTGTCGACCCACAGCCGACATCACCAATGTGCCAAGTTGATTTCAAGATGGTTGAGCTGTGTGCGCCTGGGAGTGGGGAGGTTACAAGAATCATTTCATTTCTTGCGCCCGATGCTCCAAGTCACCAAACCGAAGTGATGAACTTCGATATAGCCTAGCTGTATATAATTAAGACAATCCATGAGACTGGAAGATTTACACATGGACTCTTAACACTACATAACTCTGAAAACATCATGAAAGCCAGCCCGATGGCAAATATTTCAGTCCCATGGATTGTTCGGGTTAAGCCAGCGGGCTTAAACGAGTGACGAGCAGTGCCGTGCCACATGTCTGCTCCAACTGGCGCGGTCAGCTCCAGGTGACGGGGGCGATTGTGAGTCTTCACAGTCCAACGAGTCCACTGGAGAATCAGGCCTTGGTGATGCTCATGCAAGCAGCGGCCTGTGATATGCACGAAGCCTTTGACGGCCCAGTGAAGTCGGGAGGCGCCTGTTGGGCTCCGCTTCAGGTGGTGCGCGATTCCGTGCTGTCAGCTGGTCGACGACCTTTCTTGGATGTATTCCAAGAGAGAAAGACTGCGCAAGACAAGCTGCTTGTGGCCTCCGCAGCCTTGCGAGTGAGCATCGAGCTGTTTGATAAGAAGAAGGCATGTCCTGTTTGCCTGTCACCTGGCTACAGCAGCTTCGAGCCTTTCGCGGGATTGTGTGCAGCACTTGCCAATCTGTACAAGCTCGTGTCGCCCTTTATCGAGGAGCACATCGAATTGGTGACCGAGGTGAGCGCTTTGCCTTTCTCCTTTGGGTCAGTTGGGTCGAAGTGAATGGAGGGTACTAGCAGCTTCGTTTTGGAAAGCCTACCCCCAACCAAAATCCACCCAACCAGCCAAAGGTTTTTTGTGAGCAACTGTCCAACAGTTCCCCCTACTTCAGGCCTTTGAGAAATTGGCCGCGGCTTGCGAACATTTGGCCCTTGGTGATGCCGCCCGCGAGCCTTCTGGCTTGGCTCGGCTGGCCGATGCGTTCGCGACCCTCACCTTCAGCCGTGCGGTGTCGCCTTCCCAGCGCTTCGTGGCCGCAGCGCAGCGGGGCCTGGCACAAGTGTCGAAGGCACAGATGTTTCGAGTGGCTGCAGTGCACAAATCACTAGTCTTGGAGGAAGGTAGCTGACAGATGTTGGCATCATTTCTTCCGGGTAGCCGGGTAGCGCAGTCACATCGGCTCTGGCCCTGGTCTGTGTTCTTTTGTCAAGAGGGCTCCCAGAGAATTTTTGACCCTTGGACACCTCTTCGCCAACGAGATCCCATCATCAGGTCATCAGATCAATTGAACCCTGACATCTTTTCAAAAAAGATAGAAACAAACACACCAAATCAATAGAACAAAAATGGTAAACAAATCCAAGGGCCTCGTTGAATTTTACCTAAGCCACTCCTCACTCTAGCTGTCACTGACCCCAGAAGGTCTACTCCACACTTGAGTCACGAAAACGGAATCGTGGTATGCGGGCTACTTTGGGTTTGCAACCTTTGGCGTTTCCTTTTGTTATTTTTCCGGTATCAAGCCCGCTTCCTCACTGGTTTTTTGTGTTTCAGGGTCTTACGTTTGGCATCTAATAGGTCAAACGTCCCCCCAAAAACCTCACCAAACCTTCGTGTCCCACCGATCGGATGGGATCGAGACTCTCAGATCGAGACGGCGCACCTCTTCTCCGCTCCCGAAACCGGTCCACCCGTCCTCCCGTCCTGAAACCTGAAACCTGACGTTTTGCTCCACCGGTGCAGGTGCTCGTGGCGACTGAGTCTTGGACCCGCCCACGCTCGCGTGTCGCGTCGCTCGCGTCGCTCGCGTTTGAACGCCGTGCGCGTGACCGGTCGGGAGCGTTTCGCGTCGTCGTTCGCGTCGGTGTTCTGCGGTTTTTGTTTTTTGAGTGCGTCGCGTGTTGGACTAAAAGAGGTCATCAGATATCATGAGTATATATTCGTATATTTTGTATTTTACTTGTTGATATAATATTTACTGTATTCCTGCACCAGAAAAGGAACAAACCTAGAGTTTCGGGAAACGGACTGCCGGCCAGTGCTGATTTGCAGAGCAGGATGGTGAGCCCAACAGACTGATACGTGTGACAAACCTAGGACATGAGGGAAGCCAATGGCTGGAACCTCTTGAACTTGGCTACCATCGCTGCTTGCTACGCCAGCGGCGCTTCAAGAAGCGCCGTCGCGGCGACGCGCACGGACGAGGAGCTCTTCACGAAGCTGGCGGCGGCAGCCAATCTTTCATCTGAGAAGCTGTCGCTTGGCTCCTGCCGGTTGGCCGGTGGGTGGGACCTAGTAAGCCAGTAAGAGTCGGTAAGAGATGATCGCGACTTTATTGAGCAAGATCTTAGATCTTTACAAATCATCATCATCATCATCAACTGTTTTTGGTCATTGGATATTTATATTTACCCCCCATGGCAATGGGGGCCAGCTGGATGATCTCAGACTGAGACTTGCTGTCAAACAGCTTAGGAAGCGGGAGGTCGTATTGAAAATGATCAGCAGCTTCTACCAGGCTGGCTTCCTCAAGAAGCTGGAGCAGTCACTTGCACCGAAACATGATTTTGTGAGTGAAGACCGGAACAAGCCAAGTCATGATTGGGTCAGGAAATGGCAGGTGCTCGCCATTCAGTTTTCAGTTCTGACACTGATGACTTATGCATAGATCAATGTAGATCATGCAATCAGCTGACTTACTGTATTTATTTGTTTCAGGGCTGCTCCAAGTCATTCCAAATCTTTCGTTGCGTCGATTGAGGTTCTTGAAGGGATTGGCGGCAAAGAGCTGGTTCCAAGAGAATGTGGCGGACTCTGAGGAGAAGGACCAGATTAAGTGATAGGTGTGTGTTGTGAGCCTCAGGAGCGGACGTCACATACCCAGAGCTAGCTTTGAATAATCGTGGTTGGAGACCATACGGTTCTGGAACAATTTCAGATCCATTAATCAGATACGATATGATTCTTTCCACTATGATGGTGCTTGCTTTCCAGGACATTCCCTCACTGGTGGCGAGCATGATGTGTGCCGCCTCGCTGGCCGAAGTGGAGAAGCGCCTGCCGAAGGACGGGTGGAGAAGCACCCACCCCCGATTTAGTGGATGTGGAACCATGTGGAACCCTCCCCTGTTTGTAGAGCAAAAGGGTCTTCCTTTCGGAGCCTATGCCATCCACGTGGCTCAGTGACTGTGGCTTAGTGTAAGTCTCAGTGTGGCCTCGCATGGTCGGGCTAAACTGCGCAGTGTCTGGCAACAATCATAGCCATTCCCGGGCCTGTCAGTGACACGGAGACCAGGCTTGGCGCAGGCAAAAGCACCACATGAGCAATGACTTGTGAGCGTTTTCAAGATGTTTAGCGGCTGTTGTTGGTCTTTGCTGTGTTCTTTTGAGGCTTTGAAACACTCCCAACAAAGTGCTGCAAAAAGAACCTGTTAGATGCTGGAAATGCTACACCCTGTTTGCGACCCTTTGATTTCTGTCAAGTGCAACCATGTTTACAATGCAAAGTAAGATGTTGAACGCTGATTGGGCCAGGGACAGTGTTGCTTGTGTGTTTTTGTCATTCTCTTTCAAGTGCAGCTAAACCTCTACGAACAGGAAACTCCTTCACGTCGCTGGACGTTGGCGAGCATCCGGGGGATGTTCCATGTTTTTAGTAATATTTGCCAGGGGCGCCGGAAAAGCCAAGAAAATACAGAGGTACATTCAGATCAGATATTTTCGCGGCGCACTCCAAGAACACTGGGGGGTGAGTTGCTTATACTCTCCCCTCACACCAGAAGTTTCGACGTTTCCATTCAAGGGGTTGCTGGACCGGCGATCGCCTTCACTCTGTGGTTATTTGCAGCAACCAATCGATTCTCGAAAAACTGGTTCGGGTTTGTTTTGAGTGGAGGCTTCCAGTGCCCATGAAACTAGTGGGTAATCACCACGCAGAGCGTTTGCCTTGAGTATTTGCCTATGAATCAGGGTTGGCTCTCCCTATAGTACTGTAATATAGGAGTCATAGGAGTCAGTAGCGAGGGAAGTATCGGGTCTGGAGAAGCCTGATATGGCCTGGTTTTAGGCTCACTATGGTTCACCTGATATAGCTGCGAACTGCAAAGCTGAAAGGTTCACTAAAGTTCTATAAAGCTTTTGGTTTTCAGAATTGCAGTTGGAAGCAGTAGCGGCCAGCTGGGGAAGTCGGGTTGGCAAGAAGGCACCTTAAGCATCCCTCAGTCACTTTGAACTCGATGGGTCACTCAAATGAAATACATTGAAGTAATCACAAACAGGTGGTTTTGAGTCCCCCCAAAAGTGGGTTTTCCAGGCACCACTATCCTCTAATAGGCATTCATTCGAAACTGCTGGTTGAAGCATTTAACTTTGCCCAGTGTCGCCGCAGCTCGTTGCAGAACGCGATTGGATCTCTGCCGTATGTTCTACAGAAGTTTTGCTACCACCTAGCTTGGTTGAGTTTAATACCAATCTTTTCTTTTTCACCCTCATAAAGGCTCCTTTTGTCATTGTTTAAACTTTGCGCCCGAAACTGTACCCTTGTACAGTTTCAGTTTGCTGGCTTCCGTTCTCCCTTTCCCCTTTTCCATACATGTAACTGCTTCCAATCTGGTCACAGTTCAATCAAATGCTTCAACATCGAACATGCCTTATGTCTCCAGACCAGCTAGGATCTAGAAACCTGACTAGTCTTGTGTTCCTACACGGCGTGCAGGACCGGCCAGATGAACTCCTCACCTCCACCATGGTCTCGATCGTCAAAGAGCTCGGGGAGAGCACCAACATTAAGGCAGGACGGCAGGGCTCTTTGACCATACAAGACCAGACAACACCTTTTGACCCATTCTATACATTCGGATAACTTTAGATGACTTGACCCCAAAGAAACCAGACATGGTGATCATAGCGAGCTTGTTTTTGGCGATCTCATCACTGGGACTCGCGCGCCATTAAGAAACGTGACCAACGAGGAGGTTGCGAACGTGAAATCTGAAGTGAAATGATACTGTATCATTACCAAAAGTAACCAACTTCGACAGCGTCGACCATCTGAGGACGAAACCAGAAAAGCTGGATGTGGGTTTTGACCTTTATTTTCGACCACGTCTTTCCGGGGGCCGCGGGCCTCCCAGGCAGTGCAGTTGACGAGCACTGTGCTGAAGATGCTGGTAGCGGCGAAAGGATCCTTGTCGCAAGGATCCTCCACGAGCAGACCCGCCTGGGATCAAATCAGCGACGTAGAACACGAACCAATTGACCAAACATCCAGCTGATCAGCAGTTCGTTCGTGGATGTTCTTGATTTTCTGGTCTACACCGCAGTTCGTGCCTTTTGGCCCCCTTTGGTATAGAGACGCGATCTTCAACTTCCCCGAACATGGCCCTCCTAACCCTCCATTCGGATGCCGAACGCCATCGACTTCTTCGTTCGGCGTATCGCCGCCGCCGAACGCTTCGAGGAAGCGGCGCAGAGTTGGAGAAGGCCCTTTGCGACGCTTCAGCTTCTTCGCTGCGAAGAGCTTGGTGCACCAGACACTCGGCATTCATTTGAGGTGTGAAATGGGACTGGTTGATGGGAATTTGGTGTTCGTGCGCGGGTGAGGCGCTTCTTGGGGGATGTTTAGGACAGTTCTCCATCCTGAGATGAGTGGCGATGTGTTGAGATCCACTTGTTTCCAGGTGTTTCCTGTGATTTTCAGCGGAGCAGGGCCGATTTTTTGGAGTCGATTTTGAGGTGGTTGGTAGATGTTGGTAGATGAAACCGCCGAAGGGTGGGAGGAAGACGCTGATGTTAGACAGTTGCCAGATGTGTGGGTGAACCGAGAAAATGCATCTAAAGGCCAGGTGTGACTGTGGTCAACACCTTAAAGACAAGCAACGATATAGTTAAGTTAGAATATATAAGTCTAAATTTTGACTTCCCATGCTCACATTATTTTTGTTTTTTGTTGTCCATGTTTAGGTTCGGTTCCGTAGTAGGTTCCATGATGTTCTATCGGTGGTTTTCGCTTGTTGGTGGCTTCAGAAGTTATTGATGTGATCCATGTCCTTTTTTGGGGCCAAGGTGGATGGATCGCGTAGAAGCATTGGTTGGCATGAGGAACTAATGAGGTGATCGTGTTGTTTGGCACCATTGACTTCTTAGCCCTTGCCGAACAACCATTGTTCTACTAAGAGTTTTGCACTACCAGACCAGGTCAACCATGTTTTCAGTGGTCTTTGAAGGCTATGGGACAGTGTAAGCGTGCATCGATATATTGACTGGAAAGCGGAACTCTGGGGTCTGGGCACCAGCCGCAAAAGCATCCAATGATTAAGTCAAATGCTCAAAAACCTTGTTCGCAACTCGAACCTCGTCCAGGATCGCAACTGGAGTCTTTGCCGAGAGCGACTGCAGGCGCATTTTGGGTCGATCGATGAACCGATTTCTGGGGTGAATCATGGATCATGGACCTACATTGGACCTTATAAGGAGTCCTTCTCAAGAATCTATTTCTTGTTGAATATCGACTGTTACAGGCGATGGGATGTCCTACATTGACCATCATTGACCCTTTTGTCAGATCAAAAAGAACATCTTGGAAGCACCCTGGACTGGCCATGATGGGCGATGAGGAGATCCCCCACATCGATCCGTCTGATGAACTCAGCATAACTCAGCGTTTTTGTTGAAGGCCGATCTTCCCCGTCCCGTTGAGGCGTTCGGGCCGTGGATTTCCTCCACGCATCAGTTTTGAACACTCACAAGCTGGAGGCAACCATGTAATTGTGTCTTTTTATGTTGTTAAAACAGGTGTTCAAAGCAAGGCGAAGACATGGAAGACTGGTCAGTGCTGCCATGAATTTGGCGTCGAGTTCCGAATTTCTTGGAGCCATGGCTTCAATCCCCTGGTTCTGCTGAAGTAGGTGTTTGATTTATCTATTTGCCCAATGGTTAAATCCCGTTCTGGTGATTATAATATATTTATATTTATTATATGTATAATGTGTTTATATTATATGTTTTTCCAGTTTCCTTAAGCATCCCCAATATCCGCTTGTTGTGAAAACCTCACGTTGAGAAGAGCGAGCCTACGGCCCGCGAAAGAAAACATGCGGCGGCGTTCCTTGGCCGAGCGAGGCTGGCCTGATCTGATCAGATCCTTGGAAAGAGACTTGGCCACGAGATGAGTGACACCGAGTTCGACGAACTGCCAAGAAGGGGATTGGCATTGCATGACACACTTAGATAAAGGCTCACAAGAGCTAAATCAGTTATGATGTCCCAGTGCGTTAGCCCTTTAGGTGACTACGTAGCACTGGACTCGAAAGAACTGCAGGAAATGCTGGGTCAGTCAAATTGAATGTTTCAACAAGACGTGTTAGCACTTTAGTCATATCACATCCGATCAGCAGTGTCTTTGTTAGGCAGCGACTGCTGAAAGGACCACTGCCCCCTGCGCTGTACAATGTTTACGAATTCTGATTGATTGATTCCTGCACGCCTTAGTGTGGTCGAGTTCCTTAGAAGCATGCAGGAGTTGACACACACAGCAAGCCGTCATTCGACGCACGGTCTTTTTTGGTCTGCGGGAGGGGGAGCAGTGCGTTGACTAAACGAGCCTGAACGTCAACCTAGAGAGACTGAAAGAAAGACGCAAGCAAGCGAAAAAGGAAAGACAAGAAAAGAAAGGAAAGGAAAGGGTGCAGGGGGTGTGGGGGTGTGGGCAGGGCGTGCGTTGACTAAACGAGCCTAAACGCCGACCCAGCAAGCCTCAAGGAAAGCCCAAGCAAACGAAAAAGGCAAGGAACGAAAGGGTGCGAGGGGTGTGGGGTGGGGGGGAGGGGTTGCAGGCCCGAAGGCTTTTGACAAGAAGCCCTAACCGGCGCGCACTTGACTAAAAGGCTTCAGTTACAACTAAAAAGCCTCTAGAAAACAAAAAATCCTTGAAAACGAAGAAAGAACCGAAAAGTGACTACTGTACTTAGCGGCAATCCTAGATCCTATGAACACTTAGACGCATGATTCATGACATTCTGTGAAGAATTCAGTGGGCCCTGCGGCATAGGATCAGCATTCTCGAGCAGAAATGCTAAGTCAACGAAGCTCCAGTGCAGAAACGATGATGCCTGGGAGGTTCACCCTTGAGGGCATGTGCAAAACGCGCCCCTCGCTGGGGATCACACCACAGCCCCGTGGGACTCTGTGGCGAGACACACTTAGATAAAGACTCGCAAAAGCTAAACCAGTTATGATGTCCCAGTGCGTCAGCCCTATAGGTGAATACGTAGCGCTTGACTTGAAAGAACTGCAGGAAATGCTGGGTCCGTCAAACTGAATGTTTCAACAAGACGCGTTAGCACTTTAGAAGGGGTTAAACAGTTGCTGCAGGGTATGTGACTTTGGCGTCCCAAAGTCATATCACATCCGATCAGCAGTGTCTTTGTTAGGCAGCGACTGCTGAAAGAACCACTGCCCCCTGCATGCGCTGTACAATTTTTACGAATTCTGATTGATTCCTGCATGCCTTAGTGTGGTCGAGTTCCTTAGAAACAAGAGTTGACACTCTGACTCTGGTTCTCAGTTACACTCAGTTCCCACGCTGGGAAAGAAGGTGACAGAACCGCATGGTGAAAGGTCCGAAAACTTGTAGGTGTTTCAAAAAATTGTTGTTCAAGTCTGCAGAGACGATCGGTCACTCGGTCGGCGCGGTGCAAGGCTGCGGACGGCTGCTGACAGAAACCTGTTTCTGGGGTGGAAAAACATGAAGAACCATGAATCAAACCGCGGAAAAGTGGGGTGGACAGCTTGTGAAAGACTCGACACGTACACATCCATGGCCAATGGATGTTTCCCTCTCTGATGCATAGCTTCGTTGGACAGAGTAGCATCAGAGAGCTCTGTCCCCCTGCCTCTTTTTCTGCGTTGAGAGACTGTAAGTTAGTAGCGATACCAGGAGGCCTTAGTAGCAAAGCCAGGGGCCCTAGTAGCGTCCTTACACCTTGTAGAAAGGTCAGAGGTCCTGGCTCCTGGTAGCGAGGCCAGAAGACCCTAGTAGCGTCGTTGGTGTCCACCGGTCGCAAAACTTTGTACATATAGCGCCAATATTGGCGCTTTTTGTGAAGACTACTAGCGACCTAAAAAGCCTTAGAAAGACAGAAAAAGCAAACAAAACAAAAGCAGACTAAGAGGGCAAGAAGGAAAGAAAGGTGTAGTTACGAGGCTCACTTAGTTAAATGAAAGTAGAGCGTGAGCGGGACATTTTGTCTTAAACCGCCCGGGTAGCTAGCAATAGCTAAGGAAAGGCACCAACACACAAGTGTGTTGAGTGCGATTTCCTTCTGTTGCCCGAATAGCGGGTGGGGTAGCAACGAGGCCCAGGGGTAGGGGGGTTGTGTGTGTGCCTATGCATGTAGATGCCCGGCCTGTGAATACTTAGCCGCAAGACGTGGACATGTGATTACTTAGGCGAATGCAAGAAACCAAAACCCTTAGGAACAGGGGTTGACACACACAAATCGCCGTACCGGCGCTTTTTTCAAAGTATATCGAATTAGGTGCACGAAAGGAAGGAACAAAACCGATGCAGAACGAACTCAGCTGGTCGATGCGTCCCGTTTTTTGGCCCGGCCGCCGTGGAAGCAGTAAATTCAGTTAAGGTTGGTCAAGTGGTGAGTTCCTGTGAAAGGTGGAAAAGCTCAGTTACACGATTTCCCGAATGAAACGGCGCCTCCTTGCGGAGGATCACACTCAGCACCCAAGTGGGACGGCTGAGCGAGACACACTCTGACTCTGGTTCTCAGTTACACTCAGTTCCCACGCTGGGAAAGAAGGTGACAGAACCGCATGGTGAAAGGTCCGAAAACTTGTAGGTGTTTCAAAAAATTGTTGTTCAAGTCTGCAGAGACGATCGGTCACTCGGTCGGCGCGGTGCAAGGCTGCGGACGGCTGCTGACAGAAACCTGTTTCTGGGGTGGAAAAACATGAAGAACCATGAATCAAACCGCGGAAAAGTGGGGTGGACAGCTTGTGAAAGACTGGGCAGGTACACATCCATGGCCAGTGGATGCTTCCCTCTCTGATGCATAGCTTCGTTGGACAGAGTAGCATCAGAGAGCTCTGTCCCCCTGCCTCATTTTTCTGCGTTGAGAGACTGTAAGTTAGTAGCGATACCAGGAGGCCTTAGTAGCAAAGCCAGGGGCCCTAGTAGCGTCCTTACACCAGAGGCCAGAAGCCCCTAGTAGCGTCGTTGGTGTCCACCGGTCGCAAAACTGTGTACATATAGCGCCAATATTGGCGCTTTTTGTGAAGACTACTAGCGACCTAAAAAGCCTTAGAAAGACAGAAAAAAGCAAACAAAACAAAAGCAGACTAAGAGGGCAAGAAGGAAAGAAAGGTGTAGTTACGAGGCCCATTTAGTTAAATGAAAGTAGAGCGCGAGCGGGACATTTTGTCTTAAACCGCCCGGGTAGCTAGCAATAGCTAAGGAAAGGCACCAACACACAAGTGTGTTGAGTGCGATTTCCTTCTGTTGCCCGAATAGCGGGTGGGGTAGCAACGAGGCCCAGGGTAGGGGGGTTGTGTGTGTGCCTATGCATGTAGATGCCCGGCCTGTGAATACTTAGCCGCAAGACGTGGACATGTGATTACTTAGGCGAATGCAAGAAACCAAAACCCTTAGGAACAGGGGTTGACACACTCATGGATATGCGTACTGATGTGATAGCGGTGCCACACGCCGGCCTAGGGTTCCAATTCCTAAGGGTACAGGTAATGAAACCTAAAAAAGAAAAGAAAAGGAGGTCCATCCAGCGGAGGTCCCAAGAGTTTCAGGTGGCCAGCAACTCCAAAAGAAAACATCGATCGAGCGGACGACCAGGTGACGACGTTCGTGCAGAAAAGTCGAGCTCACAATCTGGAGTGAATCACCGCTGCATTAGACGCTTACTGCACAACAAAGAATGAGACAGCTTGGCATTTACGTAGGTTCATTTCAAAGCAGGTACGTCAATCCGGCGTCCCGGATTGATTTCACCAGCACACATCCAGTGTCTTCGTTGGTGCAAGACTGGATGGGCTGCTTGCACCCCCTTATATGAAAAACTAAGCGAATCCAGAAGGATCCCTATGACTCCAAGGGTTACACACACACACGCCTCCCCGAAGGGAGGCATGTGACCTCCATCCTGCCCGGAAAGGAGGTAGGCACATGTGCACGCAAAAGGGACAGATGAAAATGAAAAGGACAAGACAGACAAAGGTGTGTGTGTGTGGTTGCCGATGAAAAGGAACCAAGTGAAGAGGGACAACCGGTGAGCCACACCTCATTGTAACGAACCTGGGCCACCTAAACCTCGTTGTAAGTAGAGTACACGTGCGTGTATGTGTGCAAACTAAGGTCCGGACGATTGTGCGCGCAAGAGAAAGAAAGGATGAGGATGAAGAGACATGAAGACAGAAGGACATGAAAGGAAAGAAGGAAAAAAAAGTCTGTGGGGGCGGATGAAAGGGGAACCAAATGAAAGGGGGCAAACCGATGACAGTCCAAACCTTATTGAGAAACCTGTTGCAAAAGCCTAGTTTGCTTGTAAATACGCCACGCACGAGGAAAGAGGGGGGAGGGGAGGAGGAAAAGAGAAGGAGGGAGAGAAGGAAGCAAAGGTGTTCCCAGCTACGGCGCAAGCGTCCAAGGACACACCAAAAAGGAAGGGCTCCCAGCTATGACGAAAGCATCCAGGGACGCCCAAGGAAGAGGGAAAAGAGAGGAAAAAGAGAAGGAAAGAAAGAGAGAGGGAGAGAAAGGGAGAGAAGAGAAAGGAAGGTGTTCCCAGCTAATCCCCTCTCCCTAATAATAAACGGC